AGCTTAAGCCAGAAACTGGTGTAAGAAGCCAGCCTATTGGTTTGCTTCCCTACAGCTGCGACTTGGTCCTGCATATTCCTCTGGATTAAAAACAGCTCCTAAAACGAAGACTCAGCCAACCCCATTTTGCCATTCTGGAGACAGAAATAGAAAGAGAGGGAGTTCCTGGAATTACTTGTCATTCATTCACCCTTTCCACCACCATCTCCATTGCCAAGTCCTGAYGGGTATGTAGACCCTCAGCTAAACCCATGGGAAACTCCTCCCTGGGTTAGGTTCAGGGAAGAGTGTTTGCAAATGCTTCCTGACTCAGGGCCCACTGGGACAGTTCCTATAAAGGCTTTGTCTTTTCCTCCATAAAGAATTGATGTGGATTTCCTCTCCTTATTTCCTCTTCTCTTAAGCATGATTCTGAACTTCCTCTTGGAATCTGAATCTCAACAGGATTTTATCTTATGTCAATGGGAAAGCTTATGTATAATTCAACTTCATTTCAATTTAAGAAGTGGCAAGGAGATCCCTCTGTGTGCCTGGAGTCGAGTGATCTTGGGACTGAAGGACTGTGCCTCACCACATTTCATCTACCAAGCGGCTTGCTGACAGCCCTTGCAAAATAAAAGTTAATCAGTCATTCAAGTGTAAGGCAGCTTCTCTGCTGTCAGGAAATTTATAATCTGGGGAAAGGGATAAAGACATATAAACATAAAAATAATAGAAAGTTGTGTAGTCCAACAGGAAGTGTTTTAGGCTGGAAGTCAAGAGCCCGTATCAGAGTGGTAGTTCTGCCATACACAGACGTTGACCCAAAATGACCTCTCTGAACCGCAGCTTCCTCATCTGTAACATGAGGGAGTTGGGCTAGATAATATCAGAAGGAGTCCTTCGCCTACAAACAATGTTCAAAATCTCTCGTTTCCATCTTCACCAACTGCTCCCACTCAAACTACCACCATCTAAATCCCCTTCCACTGGGAAATCTTCAGCCTCCCTGCTTCATGTCTCTCCATCCTAGAATTCATTGTCTCACCAGGGTAATCTTTGGAAAACACAAATCTATCTTGTCACAGGCCTCTCCTTCACTGCCTAAAAATCCTCCAACAGCTCCTAACTGCTATTAGACATGGAAGGCATAGCAGCTCTTCCTTGCTCCCCATAACTGATCCTCCCTCCCCGTTTCCTCTCTGACCTTGCTTTCTTGTGCTATCTCCCTCGCTCCACCATGCTGTTACTGCCTTCTTTTCCAATCCATGTCCAAACTAATYGTATGCTCTTCTATCCAGAAAATTCCCTTTCCAGTAAGACCCATATCTTCTGGGCTTTTTGCCCTAGTCATACTTTCTTCTCTCTCTRTTCCTCAAAGTAGGACCAGGGGACCAATGAGATGCAACAGAAATCATGATTGGATTCTAGTCCATTCCAGAAATTAAGTGGAGGATAAACTTATATGGTTTGGGAGACTTATGAAGGCAGGAGCATAAACAACAGGCTTGGGCCATGTTCCATGGTAAAGGAATATCTAGTACATGGTTTATTAAACCCCGTSCTTCCTTTCTTTTTTCTAGGACACATAGCTTCTTTTGTCATGAAGAAGAAGATAGGACTCATTATGGCTAAGCTGGTTGCTAGGCTCCGTGTTTGGTCTGTTTGGTCTGAACTAGACAGTAACATATTTGGTATTGTGGCTGCTGGTGGTCTTTTGAGCACCATACTTTATTCTCCAAACCCTTCTGTGCTCTATGCTAGGATGCTATCCCCAAGCAGAGTTTCTTTGGGTTCTTAAAGGTTCCCAGGGATTTCTAAATGCAGAAATTTCTGGATTTAAATTTGTGGGGCATCCCAAGTAACAAACTAAATTTATTTGAAGATTCTTCTCTTTAATCCTTTTAATTTATCAAGGTTTGCATTCCACTTCATAGGAAATTAGTATTTGTTGTGATATTAAAATGACATTTTAAAGTACTATCTGCATTTTAGAGAATGGAATTTCGAGTCAGAAAGGTAGAATTTGACTTACTGTTCAGCTACTCACTAGTTGTATGACCTGGCCACGTGTCTTTTCTTCTCTGAGCTTTCACACGTGTCCATCATACGACTGCATGGTAATTATTCCATGGAGTGTAGCACCCTGAGGGCCACAGTCTCTACCTTTTACTCCTCTGCATATCCTTCTTATAGACTAGAAGAGGGTCCTATCCCCAGAAGTCACTTTCTATGATTCATCCCTCTACATCAGACACAAGTGCACCTATGGTTATCCCATTTTTACCACTAGATGGAGAGCATGTATCCTAAAAAATTTTAATTCATTAGGAAGTAAGAGAGCAAATGTTTGTCTATAGCATCTTCACCAAAACAACTTATTTATTCATGATGATATTATTAAAACTGTCTCTCAATACATACAATTATAAGGTAACTCACAGAACTATTTATTCYAAAAATAATAAAAGGGCAAAGGCAAGGGAGAAATACTAACTTCAGGATAGTGATTATCTCCAGGGATGGCAAAGTGGAATTGGGTGAGAATAGAGAGCTCTAAATGTATTTGATAGCTCATTCCTTATTTAAAGATATAGGAAGCAAAAAATGTTAACTCTGGATGAATTCTCAGTGATGATGGTGGTATTTGCTGTTTCTGTGAAGTTTTTCAAGACTGCAAATTTTTTTTTAAGTGGGGAGGAAGATTCAAAGGTAAACTATATGTCTACTCATTTTATCTCTGTGTCTACTGAGTTTTTAAATGTTCTCCTTGAGAGATGTGCAATCTACAACACAAAACAACACAGCAGAAAACCTGGTGACTCTGTACTGGTCTCTCACRTGGCCATCCTTAACCAAACCATAAGTCTTCTAAATGTCACAACTTAAAATTCTTGGCTAGTTAGTTTTTATCTCCAAATTAGATTCTTTTAAACTAATCTGTGCTGGTTTTTATTGCTATGTAATGAACTACCATGACATTTAGTGCTATAAAAGAACAATTTTGTCATGTTCATAGATTTTGTGGGACAAGAATTTGCACACCTTCCTGTGGGGACACCTTGTCTCTGCTCCATGACATCTGGGGCCTCAAGTTGGAAGACTCAAGCTGGAGGGTCACTTGATACTAGGAGGGAGTTGMTGGCGGGGGCAATACTTACTAGCAGTTGTCTTCMCTGATGTGTCTGGTGGTTGATACTGGCTGGGGCTGTCTACTGAGCCACATACTGGTTACAATCAAGTGAACACGATTGGTCCCAKCTCTCCGTGGAGTGATTGTCAAAGACTGTGCAAGAATATTTAAAACCATCACAATATGCTCTTAACTCTGCTATTACAACAAAGTGGATTGAGAAAGCTGGACCTCACTTCCTCTTTGTCCACTCAAATGACCCATATGGGGGAGCATTTCAATGTATTTTTTWAAATTATCTAGGAACATGTCTGGCCAAGTTCAAGAAGCTTAAGTATAAACTAATATGGTTATTTTTTTTATCAGCCTTGTACCTTGGGAAAGCTGTTTAGTTATTTTTTATGACCATTAAACATGCAAGTATTCATAAATAACACATATAATAAGATTCTCATCACCAATGGAATATTCTCCAGAGGGGAATATTGTCTATTGCTGCATAATAAATTACTGACAACTTAGTGGTTTAAAACAACAAATGCATTATCTCACCRCTTTTGTGAGCCAGGAACCTGTGAACAGCTTAGCCCTGCAGCTCTGCCTCAAAGTTTCTCATGGGTGGCAGTCAAGATGTGGGTCAGACTGTCATCTGAAGACCTGASCAGGGTGAAATACTGCTTCTGTGTGACTCACTAACATTTCCTCACACGAGGCCCTCTTCACRGGACTGCTTGTGCATCCTCATGCCATGACACTGGCTTCTTCCATAGTGAGCAAATCAAAGAGAATGAAGAGGAAGCCACTGGTACCTTTACATTCTAGGCTTTGTAAGTGACAGTCACCTCTGCCATATTCTTATTCATTCGAATTGAATTACTAAGTCCATTTTATACTCCAGAGGAAGGGAATCAAGTTCCATTGGAGGCATGTTAAAAACTTTTGATTATATATATTAAAACTACCCAAGGGAGATTGAAGAAAGGTTTCTCTCACTCTATCCTGAAGGGGAATCTGCCTTCAGACACCCATCTTCACTTGGGCAAAAAATGTGAGAAAACAAGTTATTTCCATAGGAAAAACTGTAAATTAATTTCCATACGGCCATTTAGATAAAAAAAAAATCTACCTGGATTCATCCATTCTAGTCTGTTCCTTGCTTTAGGATGACAACTATAATCATTGCCAATAAAAAGGGGGGAACGCTTTGTGTGTTTTATTTTGTATATAATTGTGGTAACATTATGGAAGTGTAGGTATTCCAGTGCATATTCTGATCACATCCTCAACAGTAGGGTGAACGTGGCCACTCAAGTCATCTAGACAAGTGTGTTGTTCTTTATATTCCATTCTATTACATATCTTTCAAACCCCCGAACTTGAATGGTCTGGATGATAGATGAGACTGTGCTTCAGGCCAAGGTTGATCGTAAGATGCAGAATTGCCATCTTCAAAACGCAAAACTCAGTGAAGTAAAATGCAATCCTGAGAGTTTCTCATCTGTAGTGAGGCATAGCAGAAAAGATGCAATTACTCATTTATCTGAGAGAGGGAAACTTCAGTGGCACGCAATCCGGATATCTAAAAGGAAGACGGGCTGCAATTCCTAATGTGGGAAATACCAGTCCTTAGGATACGACAGTGAGGCCACCGACAGGAAGGTGGGGCGGCTCCCTTCAAATAAGAAGGGTTGAATTGTATCTGGTTCTGGATCTAATTCAACTTGACTACTGAGCAGTAAGATAAATTGAACCCACAGAGAAAACTGAAAATCGCATTTTCCTGGCAAGTCTTTCAATGGGCTTAGTGTGTTTAGATTTATGGGGGGTGGGGAGGGGTAATGACTTTTTCTGCCTTGGTTTTTCACTTTTTTTTTTTTTTTTTTTCCAGGACTGATTTTCCATCTGGCCTAACCAGAGCCTGAGGTGACTGAATCCAGTGGAGCCAATAGGTTCGACTTGAGCTTGCTTTAAAGCATGCTTAGAACAGGRAAAGACAAATTGGCTCCTTTCTGAAAGGCCTATGGAGCAGAAGCCTGCTTCTCCCTCCCCAGACCACAGCCTTGAAAGAGAAAACATCCTGTTCTTCCAACTCCTGGGAAGCCATTGCAGTGGAGCAAGAGGCTCGGTGGCCGTCTCCCACTCAAGAAGCTCACTGATTGGCAGCCTTAAGGGCCGGGACCTTGTCAGGCCGAGCTGATTCCCATCCCAGGTCCTGGGGTGCCAGGCAGGGTTAGATAAGGCTGGGCTTATCCACTCAGCTCCAACAGCCCCGGAGAAAACAAAAGAGCAGCACAAAGTTTCCACACTTGGGAAGAAGTCAAGGTTAGCAAAGCACTAGACCCAGGTATCTGGCCTCTAGAGGTGACAAAGGGACCTTACAACTGAAAGTAACAAGACCAGGTGGGGTCAGGGACACTCTTGGAGTGCTGGTAACCAGAGGCAGGATAGGCTCAGGAGAGGCAGCCCTTGCCCGCATGCCCTGTAGACTATCCCACACAGCTGCCACCTAGAGGAGAAGGGAGACAAGAGAGCAAAACCAGAATTAGCTGAATTTTAAGATGAAAAGACTGAGAAAACACAGAGGATTTCTAGAAAGAATCAGGGTCGCATGGTAGTAAGTGGATTATGCAGCATTAGGAAAAAATAATGTTATATATTTCTTGCACACACTAGTTTGTGGCTTAGGAAAATTCAAACATGCTTATAAACSTGCCAATGCCTTGCCCTGTCTGCCATACCATGCAGAGAGAAGGGGCTGTTTGGGGTGAGTGTGTCTCTCAGAAATTTAAGAGACAGCTAGAATCGCAAGGCAGAAAGTGATCGTACCTGAAAGTCTTCTAGAACACAGTTCAGAAAATATTATTTTTTTAAAGGRCCAGATAATAAACATTTTAGGCTTTTCCAACTGTATAGTCTCTGCACCTCTTCAGCTCTGCCATGGCAGCACAAAACAGCCATGTACAATACATAAATGAGTGGGCCACGCTAGGTTCCAATAAACTTTAATTATGGAAACTGAAGTCTGAATTTCATGTCATTTCCACGTTTCTCAAAATATGAATATTCTCTTGAATTTTTTTCAAGCATTTAAAAATATAAAAACTATCCTAAGCTCAAAGGCCATAAAAATACAGCCAGCTTTATATCTGACTTAGAAAAGCAACCAACCGTTCACCTTCAGACTACTGCTGCGGGAGCAGAAGACATCTGTTGAGCCCTAAGTCCTGAAAGACAGGGCCCATGTCTGTTTTCCTTCCTTGGGGTAAACGTGGTATCTGACACAAAGTAGGCATTAAATTGCTCTTCATTGATTTCATGACCGAAAAGCCTTTTCGTCACTTTAAAAACTGTTTTGTTGTTCCATGTAACTTAACAAATGTCTGCAACGGTGATTTATTTATTTGCAAGAATCACCATGAGTCAATAGGAGACTTTCATAAATAAATAAACAAATGGTAAAAATTCAGTGTGGGTCCATGGGAAACGGCAAAACCATTGTGAGTTCTGTTTAAAAGAGAACCTGTTGGCACTAAGAACTAAAAGGGAAGTAACTGCAAATACTGTTCCTGGTAATAAAGGAGCCATCCTGTGCCTTTCTCCTGATATTAATTCTGTGCCTTCCATTTGGTCTACAGAGGTGTCTTCTACCATTATGCCCATGGCATGAAAAAGCTACCTGGGTAATAAAACCCTGGGAACCTTATCAGGGACCCACTACATGGGAGGAGTTACTGCTGAAAATCTTTCTGCTGTGTCCTAAATTGGCAGCACCTTTCCCCATTAAGCCACACAACTTCTAGGCAGAACTGAGCAAACTCAGACAAAACCACATGGCTTAGGGCTGCCTTTATTCAGCATTTATCCAAATAAGCTTCATCKGGTTCCTTTTTAAGTTTTCCTTTCTTTTTAAAAATCCCAAGTGAATTTGCAAAGGGAAGTATTGAGAATGTGGGGGGAATTGGGGATGATAACTAGTGTGTTGGTACCAAGAAGAGGCAAAAGAAAAAGATCAAAGATTAGTTTCTCTAAGCTGGGTGGCACCTTGGCACRGAATCCTGGGAACAGATGCCGACTGATTTGAATAAAAAAAGGAGCAGAAGTAACCAAAGATAAGAAATAATTGGCTAAAAGATATAAAACCAGACTTCTGACTGGGGATAATAAAGTTTTCCAAAGCAGTTGTTAAAATAGCTGACTTTTAAAAATCAACCTCAAATTAAAAAATTAGGAAAAGAAATGCATTGTTAAATATTCTCTACCTCCAATTGAGAATTAAGATGTGGGCAGAGAAGAAGACACCCTTTCCAAAGTCTCAGCAGGACAAATCAATCTTGTGGAGGCCTTTGTGTTCCTAAGAGAGTGATGTCAGCACCCATCGCAGGAAGAAGAAAGAAATGTTTGCACTAAAGGTCACTTGAGAACTATAAAGAAAAATGTTATTTGTAATGACTTAGAAAGGCTTCCAGGAAGAAGAGGAGTCAACTTGCTGTTTTAGAATGAAAGGAAAAGAAAAAAAAAAAAACAATGCTCCCAGTTAAAAATAGTCATTTAGATATTCCAGAAAGTCTATGAAACTTTGAGGGGAAAGAATCCAAGGGTACGATTATGGGAAAATAAACTATGTTATATTAATGAACTGTTAAAAGTATGTTGTGCATTTACATATGTATGGGTCATAAAAATAATTGAAAAAGTTTTTGACAGTAAGAAGGCAGGGACTAAGAGACCCTCTACCCTACATCCTGATGGACCCTGAGAATTCTTAGGTTAATCAGATAGTCAGGGCTCATGGAGACATCCAGATCAGAAGACCTGAAGTCACATTTCAGCTCTGTCACTTCTAAACTGAAAACTGCTACGTGTCATTCAACCTTTCAAAGCCTTAGTCTCTGTTACTGATTTAAGTGAAGACAATGAGTGTCCCTTGTGAGTCATTGTTAAATGAAGTTCCTACACAGAGTGCATACATGGCAGGTGCACAACAGAAGTAGACTTGAACCTGTTGTATTTGAAGTAGGTTAATTGCCAACTGCATTGAGCATGTACTATGTGTCAGTCCTCTATTTAGACTGCTTTGGTCTTCTCAGCAGCCCTATGATCAGGGACAACTGTCACCCCTGTATACAGATAAAGAAACTAAGGCTCAGAGACACTAAAAAAATTGCTCACAGTGCAAGCTAGTGAATGCCAAGCCAGYCAGCCCAGCTCCCTGCCTCCACATAGGAGATGGGGAGGTGACTGAACTTGTACCATCTTCTTCTTCTCTGTTTCCATCAAGACATAAGGAAAAAGATAAGGAGATTCTCCCCTCTCAATAGCATAGACAGCTACTAATCTCATTCCAATAATCAAGTTAAGGAGAATGGACTTAGGCAGAAAGGATTCAAGAATAACAAATACTTTATGGTCCATGCAGTGTTTGAGGTGCTTTATTAYGTGGAATCAATTGTCTTAAACAACCCTCTGAGACATGGACCACATCCTCTCCATTTTATGGAGGATCCAACTTAATGTGCAGAGCCATTGTAATACCAAGACTACTCTCAACCACTATGCTATGCAATAGCCCTAAGTGTTCATGGGAAATTGGTTTCAAAAGCCCCTGTAAGTTCTCAAATTCTCAGGTGTTCAAGGACCTTATAAAAAATAGTGTATTTTGTATAAAACCTACACACATCCTCCCATATACTCTGAATCACCACTGCATTGTTTATAATACCTAATAAACTACAGACATTATGGAAATAGTTGTATATGATATTGCTTAGGGAATAATGACGAGAAAAAAGTCTATAGATGTTTGGTACTATGCAATACTTAAAAATATTTGCCACYTGAAGCTGGTTGAATCTGTGGATGCTGAACCCTTTGCCTTTCAGCTTTGGGCTTCTAGAGGCAAGACAACAAGCCATTATTGGTGCCGCCCCAGCCAGGTACTGGTGGTGGCAGGAGAATGGTCAGCAAATGTAGCTTTAGGGGAAATTATAAATTGAAGTTGGAAGAAAAGTAATATTTATTGACAGCTTATAATTTAAGTGAGTAGGGACATTTTAAGTTAATAATATCCTAACTGGAGTTCCAAATTCTTGGACTTCACCGAATATAATAATARGGGCCTGTAAGCTATTTTCAATATTTCAAAAATGCCTATTAGTGTGTCACTAATCATATAAAACAGTCTTTGTGTATGGTAATGAAGACTTAAAGAAGAAAACTTTTAGGGAAAAACTTCATAACCAGACTTGAGAAAGATTTCAAGGATTTGTAATTCTGGAAACAAGTGAATTTTTGTCCTGTGAGAATTGAAATAATCCCTATAGATGTCAAATTTACCCTAACAGAGAAGATAACCCCATTATCAAAGAGAATTCAACAAAACTCAAAGACTTGAGGAAAGAAGTTGTCGGCAGACATGAAAGGCAATTTTAGCCATTTACTTAGAATTGCCAGTCACCGTAGGAGCAGAAGAGGCATTTTTCTGCCAACTGGTTGAAGCTCATGCCAGAATAATCCTGCTGTTTCTTAATTGTCCTAAAAGCTTGTAGCCAGCAATTTCCCTGCCAAGCCTGACCTCACTTTCATGTTTTTTTTATAATATGCAGATCACGAAGTGTCCCATACAGGATAGGAAAAGGAGAAATTATTTCCTTGGCCTTACTCTCTTTGGAACTCACCATATTATAATCTATCTGTATAGCGTGTCCCTGTAAAATAATGTATCAGTGGTCATCTCAAAACCTTGAGTTTTATTTTCTTTCTGTACAACCATCCTTGAGCACCTTTCAAGGTATGATTTATCCTCATGGAAATCCTTTATGATCCTTATAGAGGTAAGGGAGGGAGGCAATGTTACTCCCATTGATGACAGAATTATGACTGCCCCACATAAAATTCTATGTGTGACATAAGTTGCAAGTTGCAGAATGAAATAGAGTGTGCTCCCATTTTTTCATAAAAGGCAAAGTGGGGAACAGTGTGGGTGTGCACACGCATGGGCAGTTGCAAATGGAGGTGGGGTGTGAAAGATCTTGCAGTATTCACTGTAGTATCACTTAATGACTCCCTCCCAAGGTGGGAGTGAGTGAAGGGGCTATCACCAAAGATGTTTACTTGTACCTGGGTACCTCTGCTTTTTAAATGTTTCATAATAACATATGATGTTTCTATAGCTTCAAAAATAATTTGGGAAAGTTTTAAAATAGGTGACAGATATTCTATGAAATTGGTGGTCTTAGCTACTTTATTCAGTTGGATTCATATTTCCCAGAGCAAATTTAAAGAGATATTGGAAAAACCTCCCTCACCTCTGGAAGCAAATAGTTGCTTGACATCTGAGTCTTGTGCAAATCAATTATACCTCATTGGAATGGAGATTGAGTTTGGATGACCACAGTCTTCCAGTGAGCCTCTTTTGGGCTTCATAGAGTTCTTTGAGGAACAAAACAAAGATTAAAAAAAAAAGTAAATACACTTCTTTATGATTTATTTAGATCTTTGCACAAGATTTTGGTAGGGTCCCACAATAAAGGCAATTTGGGGATAAATCTTCCACAAGAGAAAGTCCTTTCTATTCTGGAGCATGACCAAGAAACTGTAGCAGAGGTGAAAAATAAAAAATTTGAACTTGAACTTGCATTCAAATTCTGACTTCTACTTAAGAGCTCTTTGGCCTCAGAAAATCTACTTAATCTCTGGAACTGTTTAATCTACTGTAACATGGAAGAATAGGTTGAGTATGGAGTACACACATGAAGTCCCAGCTATTCAGAAAGCTGAGGAAGGAGGATCACTTGGACCCATGAGAGCAGCCTGAGCAACACAGCAAGATCCAGGACAGAAGGAAGGAAGGAAGGAAAAAGGGAGAGAGA